TCCCGGTGGTAGAAGCTTGCGATTGCGTTTCAATTGACATTGCGGGGCTGGCGTAATTAACCGTGATGATATGCTTGCAGCGCGCCGCGCGGCGGGAAACCGTGGCTGCAGTTCAAACAGTCGGCGGCCAACGGGGACAACAACGCCCATTTAGGAAATATCGTGAGTTCACCGTGACGTTGCATTCGGTTTTTCTCGCCTGGAAAATCGACTTGTCGAGACAAGTTGGTAATTATATTGCAGGAGACAACGACGAGATGCGTCGGCTCGGCCACGAGGATACAGCACGCGAAACTGGTTCAACAGGAAGTAATCAGGTTACTTTTGGCCGCGAGGGAATCTTTGCTCAACGACCTGGCTGATTTAGCGCGGCTGCTACCTTCTTGCCAGCAAAGAGCGCTCGAGCTTGCACAGAACACGCACAAAGAAATTACCAAGGTCGGTTCTGCTCCTCAGTTTCAAAGTTTCGTCACTTTCGTAATCTCTTTCTTTCTCCCTCTGTCTGTCTGCGAATTAATTCGATGTTCTTTCAACGCGCGATTCGTCTCGACGTCGATCAAAGTCGATCGCGTCAGAATGATTCGTCAGCGTTTGTTGTTTCCGAAATTCTTCTCCATTGTTTCTCTTTGAGAGAGCACTGACGGGATCGTCAAACGTCATCGGTTTCAATAGAGAGTGAGAGAAGTAAAAAAAAAAAAAGAATCAGTAGCACACTAGGACTTCCTAATCCGGGCTTAAGAATTATTTCTTCTGTAACCTTTATCGTAACAATCTCTCCGGGACTCTGCGCTTATTAGCGAATCTTATTAGTGTCTTTGTAACGTTTCTCCGAAATTATCACGAGAAATACTGAAACTTGACGCGTCTTGAATCCTCCTCGTGTTCAAACGCGTCGAATTATTAATTAGTAACGCGTGATAGTTTCGTTTGCTTTACTTCTCCGTGGAGAATAGTAGTCGTCGCGTAGTTGCAGATGATGGACACAGAGGAAACCGATATCGCTCAACTCTGCGCACAAAATATCGTTCTCTGGCAGCACTTCTTAGAGGCGTTCTCCGGACGCGAGGCCGTACATCAGCATCTTGCGAGGATCCATCATCAACTCAGGGTAAAATGCTTCTTTTCGTAAAATGCTTCTTACAATTTTCTGTTTGCTTCTATATATGTAATATTTAATATTCAATATTTATTATTTATACAATTTTATATAATTAATATATTATATATTATTATAATATACTAAATATATAATTATGTATAATAATATATAAACGTATTATTTTGTATATAATGATATATAATAATAATAAAAAATATATAATTTTATATATATATATATACACATAATTAAATTATAAAATAAAAATAGATCAATTAAATTATAAAATAAAAAATCCAATATAAAATTGAAAAGAAAGTTCTACGTGTATATACATGTATCTTTTTAATTTTACATTGCATCTAATATTTTAATTTCGTAATTCGATAACTACATATATATTATTGCATATATAAATTATAAAATTGAAACAGATGCAATATAAAATTAGAAAGAATATTCTACGTGTGTGTGCGTGTATCTTCTCTAATCTTATATTGCATCTAATATTTTAATTTCGTAATTCAATTTAATCTCATAATTAAATAATACTTTGACATCATACTTTCATATCTCATTGATATGTTAATAAATAATAAATAAGTTGCTGTAAGTTCTTGAGCAACTTGTCCAAATATCCGGTCCTCTGTATATTTTCCGAAGAATTTCTGGATGCCTCCGCCAGCAGAGTATTCGAGTTGCATTTTTCGTTTCTTTCTTTCCCGCTTGCGAATGCGTCGATCAATCAGCGAAACGATTCAGCTTCACCGTAAAAAGCGAGCGTCGCAATATTGAAATCATAGGTGAAACGTTTCGCGGAAGGTTTCTTCGTGTTGGAAAATCCCAGGACGTCCGCGTGGGGTTGCTACGACGCGAACTACCAGTCGTATCAGGCGGTGAGCGAGGCGGCGCGAAGATCGCGATACCTGGCCTCGTTGCCCCCGTTGCCTGTCCACTGTCCGGAATTGGACGGCGATCTTCACTCGCTGCCTTTGATCTTCGAGGATCAGTACGTGGATATGAAACAGAGGCACAGAAACAGCGGTGAGTGTATATATATATATA